GAAAATGTAAAATGGAACAATCAGCTTGAGAAAAGATCTGTTTCTTAGGAAACTAAGCTGATAACCACCACATAATGTAACAATTCGAATCCTAGGTATTTACTCAGAGAAATGATATTATTTAAATTCCATTTATATGAACTTCTAAAACAGGGCAAACTAATCTGTGGTGGGAAAACAATTAAGACAGATGTTGCCTTGAGACAGTCTGAATGGAGACTGACTGAGAAGGAACATGAGGAAACTCTAAAGCTATCATTGTAGTCTGTATCCTGATGCAGGCTGGGAACACAGGTGAATAACAGCTTCTATCAAAAGCCATGATGAGTGCTCACTTCAGTAGCACATACACTAAATTGGAGCGATGCACAGAAGATTAGCATGGCCTCTGTGCAAGTATAATGCACACAATCGTGAAGCGGTCATTACTTTACTTTTTTTTTTTTTTTTTTAAAGTCACTGACTGGTGCCCTCAAATTGTGCATTTCACTGTATGTAAATTCTACCAAAAAACCCAACCAGTCTATAAACAAATATTGAATTCAAAATGCTCAGACTTGAAGTATATCGATATTTATAACTTACCTCAAAGAATTTAGGAAAACTGGGTGTACAGAAGGATGGACAGATATACAGTTACGTAACAGAGCAAAAACAACAAAAAGTTAACTGTAGGATCTAGGTGGTGGGTATATGTGTGTTCATTGTACAATTTTCCAAATTTTCTATATTTTAAAATATTTTCATGATAAAATGCTGGGAAAAAATGCCTGATCAGCTTTCTTAGCCAGAGTTACATTATGTAGGTATGGACACCTAAGTATATGCAGAGGTATAAACATTATATACACTTACATACATAAAATTATAAAAACTGATGCATACTTTACATCTTATTACTATGCCTGAAGAAATCATGCTTAATATTGCCAAATACTAGTCCTTTAATCTTCATTCATTCCCAAATATTCATTATTATTATTTATAATAAAACACAAGGCACTCTACTACATGCCTTGGGAAATAACAGCTCACATTTTAAACACCTAGCACATGCCAACCACTTAATCCATTTATGTTCAATACTTTAAGAAAAGTACCTGATTACAAGCATTACCACTGGTTCACAGTTATAAAATTTTAATAATTTCAGCACTTGTGAATAGGCAATTGTAGTTTTTTTTTTTTTTTTTTTTCTTTTGAGATGGAATCTTACTCTGTCACCCAGGCTGGAGCACAATGGCACAGTCTCAGCTCACTGCAATCTCTGCCTTGCAGGTTCAAGCAATTCTCTGCCTCAACCTCCCGAGTAGCTAGGATTACAGGTGCCTGCCACCATGCCCAGCTAATTTTTGTAGAGACAGGGTTTCACCATCTTGGCCAGCCTGGTCTTGAACTCCTGACCTCGTGATCCACCCCACCCTCGGCCTCCCAAAGTGCTGGGATTACAAGCCTCAGTGACCGCACCAGGCCTTTCTTTCTTTTTTTTTAATGAGATGGAATCTCACTCTGTTGCCCAGGCTAGAGTACTGTGGCATGATCTCAGCTCACTGCAACCTCTGCCTACGTGATTCTCCTGCCTCAGCCTCCTGAGTAGCTGGGATTACAGGCACCAGCCACCACCCCCAGCTAATTTTGTATCTTTAGTAGAGATGGGGTTTCACCATGTTGGCCAGGCTGGTTTCGAACTCCTGACTTCAAGTGAATCTGCCTGCCTCAGTCTCCCAAAGTGCTGGGATTACAGGCATAAGCCACTGTGCCTAGCTGCCACTGTAGTTTTCTTAATTAGGATTCTGTAAATACATTTACTTTTAAGGCAGGGTCTCCATCTGTTGCTCAGGCCGGAGTGCAGCTGCACAATCACAGCTCACTGCAGCCTTGAACTCCAAGGCTCAAATGATCCTCTTGCCTCCACCTCCCAAGTAGCTGGGACTACAGTGTGTGCCACCATGCCCGGCTCATTTTTAAATTTTTTAGTAGACACAGGTTCTCACTATGTTGCCCAGGCTGGTCTCAATCTCCTGGGTTCAAGCAATCCTCCCACTTCAGCCTCCCAAAGTGTTGGGATTACAGGCATGAAGCAGCATGCCTGGCTTACATTTACTTTTATCCTGAAACGGTTTATTATTTTTTTTTTTAGTAAATTTTTAGGTTGGGGACCAAGCATGAGAAAAACCAGTGCAAACGAAAGAAGGATGTTCCATTTGGGTTTTGTATCTTACAGAAGTCGTTTTGATTTTTTAAGATCAATTGTAGATACATCTGCTAACCTGGAGAAAAAAAATACATGGAAAAGCTTTATTTACCTCTTTTTGGGAAGAGAGGCAGTAAATATTAGTATTTCCTGTAGACGTTATCCTTTTGGATAACAGATTGGCCTAGATCATGTATATTTTTATAATCGTACTTTGTCTCTCAGCGAGTGCCAAAAAGAATCCCAGGATTTCTTTTCACTTTAAAAACAAACACTCAATTTTATGCCATTGATCTAAGAAAAAGAAAGTCCTTAGGAACCCACACATATTCATGAGAACAAACATGAAGCTCATTCACCAGGAGGCACACTGAATGGAAAGGCAGGGTTAAGGTGAAAAGGTCACGACAAACATTACGGGCTCGGGCTGCTAAAGCCGTCTGTGAGGCCCCTCACACAAATGGCTGCAGGAAGTGACCTCATGTATCTCTCGTGGTTCAAAGAAAAAGATGTTGCAATGTCTTGCCTATAGATTATTTTTTAGAGAAGAAGAGGGTTAGAGCCTGGGAACAAACTGTAGGACATTTTGATATTTCACAGAACAGACTGTGGGTGACCGCTGAGGAAGGCTTTTAAGGAAGCAGTTAACGGCTTATCTGCCAATGCCATGCTTTTATTTCATCACTGGCTAATAGAGCAGGTTTTGGGAGGTTGAGAGTAAAACAAAAAATGAACACATTTCAGAGTCAGGCCTAGATGCAAACCTCAAGTCAGCTGCTCACCCACTAAGTAATTTTGGATAAATTTCTTTACCCATTAGTGCCTCTATTTCCTCAAGAACATAAGGAGGATAAAACCACCTGCTTGTCAGGGTTGCTGGACGGACAAATTGAGATCAACTATTTAAAAAACTTAGTTCAGTACCTACTGTATGGTAAGTACCCTGTCAGTATTAGTTTGTCTCTCTCCTTTGCGTAAGTAAGCCCTTGGTTTTATTAACACTAGAGCCAACATTTATCGCAAAGCCTCTCCTGCTCACGAACTACTTTGGTAGGGCAAAAACACTAAGAAAACCCTCCCCAGCTCTTCTCAGGCCATTCAGACATTCTCAAGCATGCATAAAGAGGTGAAAGTGAACCTATCATTTCTGATTTTCCCTAAGCAGTCTGGCACAAAATGTAGGTGTTATTTATTTACTTATTTATTTCTGAGACAAGGCCTTACTCTGTCACTCAGGCTGAAGTGCAGTGGTGACATCACGGCTCACTGCAGCCTTAACTTCCTAGACTTAAGCGATCCTCCCACCTCAGCCTCCTGAGTAGCTAGGACCACAGGTGTGCACCACCAAGTCCAGCTAATTTTTGTATTGTTCGTAGAGACAAGGTACCCTTATGTTGCTGAGGCTGATCTCCTTGGCTCAAGTGATCCTCCCACCTTACTTTCCCAAAATGCCAAGATCCACTGTCCCTGGCTTCCTTCAATTTTAAAAATTATATTTGTCTGGTATTCTTGAAAAAAAAATTTTATATGAGCAATTTCGTAAATGGTTCTGGGAAACTGAGTTAAGAAGGCGAAATATAGAAAATTCTAATTCTCTTTAGCTAGGAAAACCACTCAATTCAGTGACCAGAAGTAACTGTGAGTCTGCAGAGATGGTAATACCCAGGGACAAGGTGACATGCACCTAGGAGGTTACAACCAAGTATTTCTTAACGAAGACACTTCAATTTTTTTTAAAACTTTTTACATTAAAATTTTTTTGACCAGACCACAAAAAAATAAAAAAGACAGAAAAAAAGGAAGAAAAAATTTTTTTTCAAACATATATAAATATTTAACAAATCTCTGTATATCCATGACTCAGTTTCAGGGATTATCAATGATCCCATTTTAAAGCTGGAACTTAGAGATACTATTTAATCTGTTTCAGTACGTTTTTAGAAACACATATCTTCAGAATGGTATTCCCCTTGGGAGGAATAGAAGTCCTTACGGTTAAAACCTCAAATTTCACAGTGGAAATTACCTAAATTCTGATATACATATTAAAAACCTATAGATTTCTCTTTCCCTAGGAGAAAGGCAGATCCTCTAAATGTGGAGTTTTTACTTCATAGAATTTTTTGTCAACTACGGATAACAAAAATAGAAATCCTTAAGGTTGCATCATATTAAAGAAGTCTTTCCAAGGACGTTGGGAAGACCATTAGCTCAAGATAAAGTTAGGGAAGGCCAAAAATGAAAGGAAGGTACACAGGGTACACTCACAGAGGCGTTGACATGCTCCTGATTCCCACACTTTAGGTCTCTATTCTTGCAATTTTTTCCCCCCTTCCTGAGACGGAGTTTTGCTCCTGTTGCCTAGGCTGGAGTGCAGTGGCTGATCTTAGCTCCCTTCAGCCTCTGCCTCCCGGGTTCAAGTAATTCTCCTGCTTCAGCCTCCCGAGCAGCTCAGATTATAGGCATGTGCCATCAAGCCCAGCTATGTTTTTGCATTTTTAGTAGAAATGGGTTTTCACCATGTTGATCAGGCTGATCACAAACTGCTGACCTCAAGTGATCCACCCTCCTGGGCCTCCCAAAGTGCTGGGATTACAAGCATAAGCCACCACACACCGCCTATTCTTTAACTTCTACACAGCATCATTCACCATCTTGGACAACCGAATCACTCACTAACACAACTGCTCTCACCACTTCTCCAAACTCATTATAAAACTAGAAGGAACAGTCTTCATAGGTTCAACAGTGTTTCTGCCTCTTCACCTCTTAGCATTAAGAAAACAATTTGTGGCATATAATTGAGTAGCATTTGCTATCTTTGCTGTGGGAGAGCCCTCTATTCTTGGGGGAACAAAACAGAACTTGCTACAACTAGAAACAGACATAAGCAAAAGAGAGCAAACTGCCCCCATCAGCCGCCTCCCTTAGACAGCCTCAAATTATATGCAAACCTGAGCTGGCTCATGTGGAAGGGTTTTTTAATAGGGAGAAAGCTTGGGCTCAGTTGCAAAGATCGAGAAAGTTCCAATTAAGCAGGCTAGATGAGGATGAGTGATACCACCACATTCAGCAGGAAGCTTCAGGCCTAAACACATTAACCAGAAATGACTCTACAGCTGGTTTATATATATGACATCATGTAGTCTGAGCTGCGGTCCTTGCTGCCCACTGAGAAGTATTCACTGTCTTCTGACTTATTTCATTCTAAAGGGAACTTCCATTTCTTTTGATTTCTATGTGAGCTTCAAAATCTGCATGTAATTAGTCACAATTTCACAATAAACAAATTTGGTTTTCTTCCCCAGCCACTTTTTTTTGGATACAGAGTCTCTGTCACCCAGGGTGGAGTTCATTGGCGTAAACTCGGCTCACTGCAACCTCCTCTTCTTGGGTTCAAGTGAGCACGTCCAACTAATTTTTATATTTTTAGTAGAGATGGGGTTTCATCATGTTGGCCATGTTGGTCTTGAACTCCTGACCTCAAGGGATCCACCCACCTCAGCCTGCCAAAGTGGTGGGATTACAGGTGTGAGCCACCACGCCCAGCCCAATGCCTTTTTCTAAACCCTGCTAATCTGGTGTTTCCTTCTCCAAGAGAACATTTACACTCCTCTCAGGGTGAGTGAGGCCCTACAAGGCTAGCTGGATCACAACTTACTAGCAGGAGTTACATATTTAGGGCAACAACATGTCTTGGGGAGACAATGAGCACAAGAGGTGAAAAAAAAAAAAAAAAAAAAGGCGGAAAAGAGTTTGGGAAGCCCAAATAGGAACATGAAAGCACAGGACAAAAACTGAAATGAAGGTCCATGCAATACCTTTGGGAAGATGATGCTGTCCATTTCATCACTGGGTGAGTGAAAGAGGTCAGAATCACTCCCAGACTCTCTTTTAAGTACACCTTGTTTTGAGGTACACTCTCTGCCCAGTCCAACATCCAGGAAGTTCTCACATTCTGAAAAAGAGAATGTATTCACCAATATTGAAAAACAGACAAACAAACTTAATTTTCCTCCCAGCAACCAGTCTTTTAAATCTCTCCTTCACACTTATCTTCCTTCCCTACATCTTTTTTTTTTCAATATTAAGAAGCTATAAAGGACACAAATTAGTAGCTCTGCTACTCCAATTCCAGGCTGGTATAGCTCCTATAGGACAACCATGTATCTGCCATGATTATATTAGGTACAGACAGATAAAAGGATGATTTAGAAGCATACTCTACCTCTATTTAGATACCCGAATGATAATGTTTTCCTCTTGGTAGTTAGGGAATTTTCTTCTTTTGTCTTCAAAATCCAAAGTCTGTTACTAGCAACTATGTGATAGGGTGGGTTTTAAACTTATAGGTTCTACTGAGTAATAACAAATAGAAATTTAACTTTTCTTACCATAAATAGCTCCTAAATTGCGGGCATAATGTGCCAAAGGGGAAAAATATATCATTTAGAATCTGTTTCAGTTCAGTAACTAGAACAGGGACCCTGGCAAGCCAGTGAGGGGTCTGCTACAGAAATATTACATTGGTACATCGAGGAAGCCTAAAAACTTAGCCTGAAATAAGCAAGGTATTCCCCCTCACTAACTTTGCTTGTTTTGTGTTGTTTGTTTTGAGACAGGTTCTCATTCTGTCGCTCAGGCTGTAGTGTGGCGGTGCGACCTCAGTTCACCTCAACCTCTGCCTCCTGGGCTCAAGCAATTCTCACACGTTATTCTCCCAAGTAGCTGGGACTACATGCACATGCCACCATGCCCAGCTTATTTTTTGTCAAGATGGGGTTTTAACATGTTGCCCAGACTGTCTATTAACTTTGTAAACAAAAGTGACATGTGATTTGGTAGTAATATGGTTAAAGAGATTTGTAAATGGTTAAACCAAGAACCCAAGATCCATTACGGAGTGGATATCAGCTTCCTTCAAGAAGTTTTAAGGATAAAAGTCATGGCTGGGTGTGGTGCTCACGCCTATAATCCCAGCACTTTGGGAGGCCAAGGCAGGTGGATTACCTGAGGCCGGGAATTCGAGACCAGCCTGGCCAACCCCGTCTCTTCTAAAAATACAAAAAATTAGCCAGGCATGGTGGTGGGTACCTGAAATGCCAGCTACTTGGGAGGCTGAGGCAGAAGAATTGCTTGAATCTGGGAAGTGAAGGCTGCAGTGAGCTCAGATCACACCCTTGCACTCTAGCCTGGGCAAGAGACAGACTCCATTTCACGAAACAAAAAAAAGATTAAAAAGTCATGCATCTCTGTTTTTGTCAGCATGTTAATGTGTTATTTAGACAAACATGTATGTACACTTTATCAAACTTGTAGGTGACACTAAGTGATGAAGGACAGAGCAGGAAACCTGGCTATCTAAGAGATAAGTGAACTCTACCTGGAGGTTTTGGGGGAAGCAAAATCAAGAGGAACTGACAATACAAGGTGATGGCAAAACTGAAAAAACATTAATAGTTTTAGTCTCTATTACTAAACAGTACACTGGCATCCAAAACAGGAACAATCCCGTCACCATGCACCATCCAGACCACACCCTTCGGATTCTGCTTGTTCCTAGATAACACCTAAGGTAGAACACTGAGAAACAAAAATGTGTACAAAGTAATGGGGTCACAACAGTCAAAACATCTGAGATGCATTCAGCTTGCTGAGGAGCTTGAGGAAAATGTGCCTAAAGATGGTCAGAGATTGCCTCAGTGCTATTCCAGGGGCTGAGCAAAGGCCATGAGTGTGAGCTGCAGAGCTTCACTACAATGGGGCTTCTGAGCAATAGGCTGGGTAGCCCTACAAAGTAATGACTATTGAACCCAGGAGGTGGAGGCTGCAGTGAATTACCACTTTACCAGAAGGGTTGGAACAGAGAGTGAATGGCTATATCAGGGTATTACAGAAAGAGCAGCTACACAGAGAGGGAACCTGAAGACCAGAACAGATAACTTCCAATGTCTCCTTTGATTATTACAGTCTATGCTTGCATGATAATTATGCTGTCTGAGAGACTGTGGGAAGAAACAGTTGTTCTAATTAACATTTATTGATTAGTGATAATTACTAAATTATTCGCCCTGGTAGCTCAGAGCAAGGGTCAACGAAGCACTGCATTAGTATAGGTCATAAATCACTTGTCAATAAAGTTACTTTTTCTACTAACTAGGCATCTAGCTAAATACTGCACAGTATCCAAATAAAAAGAAATGCTTCGTGTTGTGAGGGAGGCAGTTTACTGTCTCATGGCAGAAATGAACGTATTAGGAGACAATTTCAACAAAGAATTACACAAAAAAATGCCATAGGAAATGGAACAGGGCTTATGGATTAATCTGAAAATCTTTCAGTTAAAACAAAAATCACCTAAGTTTGTTTCAGTCTTGGTTCAAACGATTTCGGAGTGTGTTAATTCAGTGGGAACAGCCCTGCCTTTAACATACTGGAAACTATGGGCATTCTGGAGGGTTTTTTCCCTATTTCCTAGAGCATGCAGTAACTTAAGAGGAGTTGGTGGGTGTGATCTAGTCCTTCTCCTTTCCCCACTTGAAAAAATAAAAAACGCCTTTCTGTGGTTGAGGGAAAAACAGGGGGGCTGGCCAAGAAAAGAAAGGGCTGTCACAGCAACTACACTGAGCTGCTCGCTGTCCAGCTGGCTGTCTAACAGACCACGTCCAAATTCCAGACTGGAAAACAAACCAGCTCATGATATTCGAATGGAAAATTCATGGGGAAGATCCAGATTCAGCCCTGGTAGGAACACCTCACCCAGAAAATAAATTCAAGCCAGCACCACAAGGGATGACAAACCAAGTTTGGGATGAGAGTCTGCTCTGTGAGATAAAGCCAATTGTTGAGGAGGAGAAGAGGGGAAAGTACAGAAAAAAAGAGTAAGATGGAGAGAGAGGGACTATAAACCATTATAACCCCCAACGTCATGGGGCAGGGGAAGGCGGGAACAATCCCTAAAGGCAGAGCTAAGCCCCTGGGTCACATGTATTTTTAAGTTTTCAAAATTAATAAAATATTTTCTTTCTTCTATGTCCCCTTCCTAATGAATAAAGGGGAGCAGCAGATCAAAGTATAAAGAATAAAGAGCTCTGGTTTTAGAGTTAGACTGCTTGGGCTTAAATCCAGGTCTGACTAGTTATTAGAAGAAAAATTCCAGGCAAGAAGTAATTTCACTCTCCTCTCAGTTGCCATTTCTGTAACAGTGACAAGGGATGATTGCTACTTCCCTAAAGGAGCCATAGTGACAGAAATAATTTATACATATAGTATCCACAACTCTGGTTTCTAGCATATAGCAGGTGTGTGATACATGTGTCTAACAAAGTTAAGGCTTCATTAACCTTTAATGTATGATTCAGTAAGTATCCCGATGACAGAACCTTAAAAGTGGGCATAGCTAGGGCCAGTCCCATTTTATGACCCGTATGTAAATTTGTCTATAATTTTTGTATACTGAGCTATTAGCTTTTTAGAAGCTAAGAGAATACAAACTTTTAAAAAGATGCTGTCTACTACCTGGGGTTTAAAATAACAGATATACCAACAAATTGTTGTTGAGGAAGGGTAGGAAAACACAGTGCTGACATCCAGTGGGCTCTGTTATGTCACACTAATCAAAATCCTGCCTTGTGATGATCCATTACTGAAGAGTATACAAAGTGATTTTAAAAGACAGTATCTATTTTTGATACGGAGCCTTGCTCTGCCGCCCAGGCTGGAGTGCAGTGATGCCATCTTGGCTTACTGCAACCTCTGCCTCAGCCTCCCGAGTAAGTGGGACTACAGGGGTGTGCCACCACACCCAGCTAATTTTTATATTTTTAGTCGAGACGGGGTTTCACCACATTGGCCAGGCTGGTCTTGAACTCCTGACTTTGTGATCTGCCCACCTCGGCCTCCCAAAGTGCTGGGATTACAGGCGTGAGCCACCATATCCAGCCAAAAGACATTCTCTTATTTGGTCTAATGCTACTGCTCCCTTGAGGAAGTGTTTATGAAGTAAAATAGAGAAACTTGCTAAACAAAGTAGCTGGGATTCACAAAAACACTATGCCTAAAATCAAAATCTCCGTAGCATGATTCTGATCTGCAATTTTAAAATCAAGATCAAAAAATACTCTAAAAAGACTAAATTGCTTATGTTTGGGGTTAGGGTGTGGAGGTCTACAGAATTCAAAATTGTATCCTGGGGAAAATGTTCAGGGGTTCAAAAATCATTTCTCTAAATACGGAAATTAAACTATGATGTGTGGAGATCTTTCCTCCCTATGAATATTCAAACTGTGAGCAACCTCATTTAATCTTTACTTGGCAGAAAGTTTCACTCTTGGGTGGTTGTAATTATACTTTTAGTAAAAGCCCCAAACAATTTAAGGAACCAAAACACAGTAGTAAGTGGTACATGTTTACGTAGACGGTTCTAGGAGGCTACATGGGGGAAGTATCAGCTAAATCTGTGAACAGGGTCAATCCCATAAAACTTGGACCCTATAGCAAAGTATCCTTTACCTACTCTCAAAAATGAGACAAAAATAGAGAAAAACACTTTTTATATCTGTTTCTAATATTTCTAATATTTCCTTTGTAGTAAAGTCAGAGAATCGAGAATCAGTAGGAAGCTTCTCTGCAGTTAGAGGATTCAAAACAATTTTTTAAATTTAATGCTGCTGGAGTGTACCTACACCTAAACCATTTCTAAAAAGACCTGCAAATGAAGACCAGGTAATTTTTAAAGCTGGGCAGTAAAAATTGGGAAAGGAAACAGAGGTTTGTTGGGTAAAGGAGACTAAAAAAACTCAGAATGCAAATTGCTAGTATTCACTTAGCAGCCGTAGGAACAGGCAAAGGGATTACTCATCATGTCATCTGTGTAACACCCTCAAAATGAGACAAGCTAACACTTTACAGATGGGAAACAACGGAGCACACAGACATTAGGGAACATACTTTACGTCACAGAGTTAGAGGCCGGACTCGGTTTAGAAGCTGGAAATCCTAAGTAACCACAAGCCTTGTGCTGTGTCATTAGCAAGGAAGGACTTAACAGCATCACACCCTCAAGTGTTGTTAGTAGTAACTCAAAGATACTTAAGGAAAGACTCAAATCCTGACCATGCACACAAAGTGTAATGGTTCTCAAGACTGGATTCAAAGCAGGGTAACCAAAGGAGCTTATGAAGATTCTGATATCCAGACCACACTCCACCCAATTAAATCAGAATCTCTGGAAGTAGGACCCAGGCATTAGTATATTTTTAAAGCTTCTTCAGCCAGGTAATTCCAATGTGCAGTCAAAATTGAGAACCTCAGGTTTGGTTCTTAACAGTAGATTTATATAACCTTTTACCAGATTAACAAACCTATGTCCCTTGTATATACACGTCACAGATGCCATCAGAAATGAATGAATCATAAAGTCACCTATGACGTCTGCTACTACCAAAATAAAATTAAGGTAATGACATACTCATCTTCAACTGTGAGACAAAATGCCTACAAACCCAAATCACATATATCCCTTCCTCTGATTTATTGTATAGCATGCTAAGGAAAGGTAGATCTCCAAATAAAGTGATCTGTTAGAGTGGGCCTGCAGCTCCAGAAAATGAACGGACAATCTCAGCTTACCTGGGTTCTGCTTGGAAGCCAAAAGAGATGCTGCATCAGGGCACGGCTCTATTGTACACCAGTTTTCTCGGTTTATCTGAAAGAGAAGGAAAACACTGAGTTTCAGACATTGAAGTACCGTGAGATAATTTTATAGCTGCAAAATTTTTGACTATACCAACATTCCTGTCTTTTTAACACAGGGTGAGTAAACTTATGTCAAGGAAAAAAACAATTTTTTTCACGATCTATACTCAATTAAGGCTCTAAAGAGACTATCAATAAAAATTAGGCATACCAAAGCAATAGGAAAAGATACATAGAGATGAAGACCACAGTGTACGCCAAGAGTAAAATAAAAAAAAGTTAACAAATGAAACTGACTAAAGACTAAAATACCAATTTGGTGTGGCTCATGCCTGTAATCCCAACAGTTTGGGAGGCTGAGGTGGGAGGACTGCTTGAGGCCAGGAGTTCCAGACAGCCTGGCCAACATGTTGAAACCCCACCTCTAGTAAAATACAAAAATTACCCGGGCGGGGTGGTACATGCCTGTAATCCCAGCTACTCGAGAGGATGAGGTGCAAGAATCACTTAAACCCAGGAGGTAGACGTTGCAGTGAGCTGAGATCATGCCTCTCCAGCCTGGGCGACAGAGCAAGACTCTATCTCAANAAAAAAAAAAAAAAAGAAACAGGCTCAGAGGGGTTGCTGAAGTAATAAATAGCAGGACTGGTGCTGGAATGCCAAGTTTGTGTTATTCTAAAAAGCAAATACCCCCTCTAAATTAAAAAAAAGTTTAAGTATAGCCTTTATACCTCCCAACCATCTTAACATTATAACGCTATTTTCATTACATTTTAAATTTTTAAAATTACCACTGAAGATTTCAATACTCCTCTCTTAATTGATAAAGTAGAAACACAATCAGCAAGATGGAGAAAACTTGAAAAACATCCATCAGTTTGACACAATATAGGACATTCCACCCAATAACAGCATAAGACAGATTCTTTTTCAAGTGCATGATGAATATTCATATTCTATGACAAAACAAATCTCACATAAAGCAAACATATTCTGTAGCACAAAACAAGTCTCAAACATAAGAGAATTAAAATCATAAAAAGTATTCTTCTGCGATCACAACGGTATTAAATCAGAAATCCAAAACAAAAGATACTCGGAAAAAACTCAAATATTTGAAAAAAAAATTTTTTTAACTTCTAAATAACCCAACGAATCAAAGTAGAAGTATTAAGAAAAAGAATAAAATATTTTGAATTGAATAAAAATTAAAACCACATATAAAAATTTGTGGGATATAACTAAAGCAGTGCTAACAGCAATATTTATATTACATGCCTGTATTTCAAATCAGTGATCTAAACTTCTACCTTATGAAACTAGAAAAAGGAACAAATTAATCCAAAGCAAGCATGATAAAGAAAATAAAGAACAGAAATCAATGAAATAGAAAACGTAAGAACAATAAAATCAATGAAACAAAAAGCTGGTTCCTTTAAAGGGTCAATAATATCAATACAACTTTGGTGAGGCTAATCAAAAACAAAAGAAATACTAAAGATGACAGGAATTAGGAATTACAGAGTGACACCATTACAGATCCTACAGATACTGAAAAAATAAAGAAATATCATGAACATTACTGCAATAAAATCAAGTTGGATGAAACAGCAGCATTCCATGACACTACACAAACTACCAATTTTCACTCAAGAAAATATAAATAATCTGAATAGCCTTATTCTATTAAAGCAATTTAATCCATAGTTTAAAACTTTATTACAAGGAAAACTTCAGGCCCAGTTGACTACAGTGGTGAATACCACCAAACATTTAAGAAGGAAATACCAACTCTACACAAGCTCTTACAGAAAATAGAAGAAAAGTATTTAAAACACAGCTCATTTTTTTTTATTAGCTTTTAAGTTCTGCGTACAGGTGCAGATCGTGCAGGTTTGTTACATAGGTATACACATGCCATGGTAGTTTGCTGCAGCGATCCCCCTGTCATCTACATTAGGTATTTCTCCTAATGTTACCTCTTCCTAATCTCCCAACTTCCTGCTCTCCCTCCCCTAGCTCCCCCACCCGCCCCCACCGGCAGACCCCATGTGTGATGTTCCCCTCCCTGTGTCCATGTGTTCTCATTGTTCAACACCCACTTATGAGTAAGAACATGTGAACACAGCTCATTTTATGAGCCTAGCATTACTCCGAAATCAAAACCTGACAGCTATAACAAAACTATAGATTAATATTCCTCAGGAATACAGATGCAAAAAACCTTAACCAAATTTTAGGTTAATGGAATCCAGCAATATATAAAACAGATTAAGATATCATGACCAAATGGGTTCAACCCAGGAATGCAAGTTTGGTTTATCACTTGTAAAAATCAGTTTAACCAACGAAAAACCTCATTAACTAATGACCATCATTAGAGGAAAAGAATTTGGGGTTGGAAGTGGTGGCTCATGCCTGTAATCCCAGCACTTTGGGAGGCCGAGGCAAGCAGACCACTTCAGGTCAGGAGTTCAAGACCAGCCTGGCCAACGTGTTGAAACTCTGTCTCTGCTAAAAATAAAAAAATTAGCCGGGTGTGGTTGTAGGTCCCTGTTAATCCCAGCTACTTAGGAGCCTAAGGCACGAGAATCACTTGAACTCAGGAAGCAGAGGTTGCAGTGAGCCATGACTGTGCCATTGAACACCACCCTGGGTGACAGAGCAAGAATCTGTCTTTAAAAAAA